CTCTCTTTCTGACTCACTTCACATAGCATGATACTCTCAATGACCATCTACTTATAAGCAAATTTCATGACTTCATCTTTCCTAATAGCTGCATAATATTCCATTGTATAGATATACCAAAGTTTCTTTATCCAGTCCTCTGTTCTCAGGCACTCGGGTTGTTTCCAGATTCTGGCTATTGTGAACAGTTCTGCAATGAACATACAGGTACAGATGTCATTTTTACTGTGCTTTTTTGCACTCCTGGGATATATTCCCAGAAATGGTATTGCTGGCTCATATGGAAGTTCAATTTCTAGTTTCTTAAGGAATGCCCATATTGTTTTCCCAAAAGGCTGGACCAGTCAGCATTCCCACCAATGATGAATAAGAGTCCCTTTCTCCCCACATCTGTGCCAGCACTGGTTGTTCTTGTTCTTTTTGATATGTGTCAGTCTCTGTGGTGTGAGATGATATCTCATTGTTGTTTTGATTTTCCTTGCCTATTTTCAACAAGCTGTTTTAAGATCAGAAGAGAAGCAAGTTATAAAAGAGTTTTGTAAACAATAAAATAGTGTTCATTCATTTACATTCCTAGCAGGTGCCAAGTCTCAGACCTAAGTATTAAGCAGTAAACCAACATAACCAGTTCCTAGGTTCTGTGCTCAGGTTGGCAAATCTTGTCTACTTCTTGTTTTTTCCAGCCTACAAGCTAATGTTTTTTTAATGGTTGGAGATAAATCAGAAGGATATTTCATAAATTTGAAATTTACATGAAATACAAATACTAGCTTCTAAAGAAATGTGAAATTAACTAAGTGGGGGTAGTCCTTTAAAGCTGGTGGTGCATGGGGACACCAGTGCTTCATCTAGCAGTGCTTACCAGGATTGAATATAGGGCCTCATATATTTCATTGTTGTTGGTTTTTGGTTTTGGTTTTTCTTGCAGGCCCAGGGGACGCATCCCTGGCTATGCTCAAGTGTCTTTCCTGGCCCTCTGTGATCAGAAGTGATCCCTGGTGTTCAGGGAAACATAACTGAGGCCAGGAATTTGAACTTGTGATGAGTGCATGCAATCATGTAGTAACCTCCTGTACTATCTCTCCAGGTCAGAGCCTCTCAGATGTTATACTTGTGGCTCTGCCACTTGAACAGTATCCCTGTCCATGGTTTTTAAATTTGTATGTCATTGAATAGCCTTTATCTTTTTGTCTCTTCCATGTAAAAACTAATATGTGGGCCATAGCAGTAGTATGGCAGGCACTTGCCTTGTAGGCTGCCAATCCAGGTTCCATATCCAGCACCCTATAAACTCCTTCAGGCCTCATACAGTAAGCCCTGAGCAAGCACCTCCGGATGTCACCCCCCCCCCCAAAAAAAAAAGAATATATTTTGGATGGGAATGTTGATATGTACCTTTTTTATGAAGAAAGAAAATGGGGGAAAGGGAGGGTGGGCAGAGCAATAGTACAGCAGTTATGGCATTTGCTGATATGAGTTCAGTCTTTGGCACCCCATATGATCCCTCAAGCCCATCAGGATCAGTGATCCCTGAGCATAGAGCCAGGAGTATTGAGTATTGCAAGATGTGACACGAAAAAACAATTTTAGGGTACAGCGAGGTAGCTTAGCAAGTTGTAGTGTGTGCAGGAGGCCTGGGTTCAGTCCCTGATGCTGCATGAACCCCTAAGAACAACCTCCAAACACTGGACCAGAGTAGCCCTCTCCCTGCCCTTCATACTCCAGATATGACCAGCCCAGTAACCAAAAATAAATAATTTTTAGGGCCAGGGATGTGACTCAGTAGTATAATTAAGCCTCACAGTTGAGTCTTTGGGATCAGTCCTTGGCACCGTTAAAAAATACTAATAATGGGCTGGAGTGATAGTGGGTAGGGCATTTGCCTTGCACGTAGCCGACCCAGGTTTGATTTCTAGCATCCCATATCGTCCCCTGAGCACCACCAAGAGTTCCTGAGTGCAGAGCCAGGAGTAACCCCTGTGCATCTCCGGGTGTGACCCAAAAAGCCAAAAATAATAATAATGATAATGAAATGTACATGTTTATGCTGTTTCCCTTATCACTTTTTTCCTTACCACTGTTGTAGTAACTAGGATTGCACATGCTTCTGGTTGTTACTGCTCACACAGTTGTTAGGAGCTGCACGCTTTTGTTGCCGTGCTCTTACACACTCTGGTTGTAGTGCTTACTGGGGGTCACTGTAGAGCTCGTGTACATGCTCACCAAAAGGAACTCTTTGGGCCACAGTGCTCAAGTATCTTTAAAGTTTTGATGCTTGTGGGAGGTCGCACGCTTCAGTTCTAGTGCTCCTATATCTGACTGTACACTGGAGATTGCTCCCACTATTGCTGTGTCATGGGTCCCAGATAGCTGAGAGGTTCTGAGATCACGTTTGGTGTATGTGAACGGCACTGGGCATTGAATATATCACCTCACGCCTACAAAGGGCAGACTTTAGCCACTGAACTCTGGGCCACTGATCCTCTTGGGTGCCAGAATATATGTTTGTGATTTTATTTGTTGGTTGGGCAGGGAGGGACCAGGTGGTACTCTGGAGGTCCGGGGACCCCATTGGTGATAATCAATTGACTTGGCAGCTCAGTGCAGAGCCTGAGCATGAAGTATTACTCAGGCCCTACAAAGTGTGGTTAGCCCTGGTATTAGGCCTCCAGGGCACTGGCAGTGGGCAGTTCTAGGGGTTAAACCCGGGTTAGGCACTTTACTGTCTTTCAGTACTATCTGTCAGCCCCCATAGGAATATAGTTTTAACTACATATTTGCTTCACCAGGGCGAGTTTAACTTTGTAAGTATCATGGAAAATCACTTGACCGACTTACTACCAACATAGACTAAAATTACAGGTTTGCTATTCAGAGTAGTTTACTAACTTTTAAATAAGAGATGGCAGCAACAAATGATGGTACAGATATATATTAAGTGTGCATGCCAAAATATATATGCTTAGCTTGAAATCTATATTGGAACTATTATTTCTAGGAGTTGGGTTATAACGAAGAAACCCATGACCAAAATAAGATTTGTAGTATTACCAGGATCACAAGTTTAACTAGTTAATAAATCAGCAGAATCAATAATTACAATTCATATTCATCATTGTATGTTGCTACATCAATCAGTGCACCTAAAAGAGTTCAGTAGTGATTGCCTGTATGGTAACTTTGGTTCAGTTTAGCCCGGCAAGCTACCGAGAGTATTCGATATGCCAGACACAGTAACAACAAAGTCTCCAATGGAGACGTTACTGGGCCCGCTCGAGTAAATCGACGATCAACGGGAGGGCCTTTACCTTTACCTATTGTTACAGAGGCCATATTTCTCTCGGTCTCATGCACATGAGGGAGTTCTATCTTTGTGTTTAATTCACTTGATCACTTGACATCCCGTTACTCATCAGTTCGCTCAAGCGGGCGCCAGTAATGTCTCCATTCGTCCCTGTTGCATGCTAGTGTAGCCCAATAGCATCTGCTCGCTCCAGAATGTGTTTAATTACATCAAGTAAAGTAAGTAAGTAAAGGCCCTCCCGTTGATCATCGATTTGCTCGAGCGGGCCCAGTAACGTCTCCATTGGAGACTTTGTTGTTACTGTGTCTGGCATATCGAATACTCTCGGTAGCTTGCTGGGCTCTAATATTGGGGAATTTTTAACATACTTTTTTCTCTCGTAGCATATTAGGGTTATACTAGGAGACCAATTTTAGGACTATCTTAACCTTCCTAGTATCATACTAGATAGACCTTGTCAGAAAGTGCTCCAAATTATTTTCTTTCCTTTTTTTTCTGGGAGTGGGGGGTCACACCTGGCAATGCGCAAAGGTTCCTGGCTCTGCATTCAGAAATTACTCCTGGTGGTGCTCAGTGAACCATATGAGATGCTGGAGATAGAACCCAGGTTGGCCATATGCAAGGCAAATGCCCTACCTGCTGTACTATTGCTTGAGTCCCCAAATTATTTTTCTTTTAATTAAGTTTGTTTGTCTTTTTTTTTAAGTTTGTACATTTTTGTATTTCACATTTTACTGATGAGAGATGACGTTAATTCTGATTAAAGCCTGAGTGGCTTTATCTCATCTCTTATGCCATGCTTTTTTGTTTATTTAAGTGGTTTGGGCACCACATCTGGCATGGTGTCAGTGGTAGGTCCTGGCAGTGCTCTGGGGTCCATGGTATACCTGCAACATGCAAACAAAGCATGTGCACTAACCTGAGCTATCTCCCTCATCTATACTGTGATTTTCAGAGTGAAGAAGTTGGCATGAAGTGAAAGGTCATGGGACCACAGCACATGCTTTTCATGCAGGAGCCCAGGGTTCTATCCCTGGTACCATGTGGTCGTCTGAACACCACCCCGAAGTTCACCAAGATCCAGGCCAGAATGGCTTTTCAGCACCACTGGGTGTGGCCCCTCAAAAATAAATTTAAAAATATGAAAATTTGATTTTATTAGGGGGAAGTGGAGTCAAGAAAAAAATACTTAAAAGATAAAAGTGCTGGGCCCAGACAGATAGTAAAGCAGGTAAAGCACTCTTCACATAGCCAACCAAGATTCAATTCCTTACACCACATATGGTCCCCTAAGGCCCGAATGAGCTCTGATCCCTGATCACAGCCAGGTGTGGCCCAGAAACAAAAAAAAGTGTCATCTTATCCTGTATTGATAATGTCAGCTTTAAAGTGTTTTATGAAAAGAAAATCTAAAAAGACTCCTAAATGGTAAAGGGATTTCCTGTATGTTTTAAATTTGGGGGAAAGGGGTTGGTCCATGCCCTATGGTCCTGGGGTTTGGGAGAGCCAGGGATTGATGTACCAGGGTTGACTGCATGTAAAGCAAGTGTCTTAACCCCTGGGCACTCTCTCTAGCCTACAAGGAAGAATTTAAATAGGAAGTTTTATTTCAAAGAATGTGACGAAAATTTTTAAACTTGTCAGTTTCTTCATGTTACTCTTTTATATTCTCTTACTGTATTTATTTTTCCTTTAGGTACGTATAGCTGCAAAATTCATTACTCATGCACCCCCAGGAGAATTTAACGAAGTGTTCAATGGTGAGTAAAGATCAGTATTTAATTATTTCAAGCCCTCCTTACATATAAGCACTGAAGGAGTATTTACTGTTTCTTTCAATCCTTATTAAAGTTAAAATTATATTAGAGTTGTAGCCAGGCAAGTCAAGATTTCAGGACATTAAAATCTGGAGCCAGAGCAGGTGGGGCATTTGCCTTGCACAAGGCTAACCCAGGTTCAATCTCTGATATCCCATGTGGTCCCCCAAGCACTGCCAGGAGTAATTCCTGAGTGCAGAGCCAGAAATAATCCCTGGGCATCGCTTGGTGTGACCTATAAAGCTAAATAAGGAGGCTGGAGCAATAGAACAGTGGGTAGGGCGCTTGCCTTGCACTGGCCCACCCAGGTTCAATCCCTGGCATCCCATTTGATCCCCCAAGCACCCGCCAGGACCAAGTGGGATGGATGATTCCTTAGTGCAGAGGCAGAAGTAACCCTTGAGAATCACTGGGTGTGTGACCCAAAAGCAAAAAAAAAAAAAACAAGCTAAGTAAATAAAATAACAAACTTTACCTAGCTCTTAAGTGTTAGAGAAGAATTCAAGCCTACATTTGAGTCAGAAGTATGCATTTAACCTGTAAATTTTACCTGTCTGTGAGAAAAGAAAGATAATGGTATAATAATAATATATGCAGAAACATTGTTGAGGGTTTTTGTTTGCTTGTTTATTTTTTACTTACAGGCCATACCTAGCTCAGGGCTTACTCCTGGAGGTGCTCAGGGGCAAGGGAGATTGAACCCTGGGTAGACCACATGCAAGGCAAGCACTCTGCTGACTATACTCTCTTTGGTCTCAGGAACAATATTCTTTTCAGTGTTACAACTTTCACAATTATAGCCTAAATTTCTTTAAACCCAGCAACCTACCAGTATCTCACCCGCACGGCAAAGCCTGGCAAGCTCCCCATGACGTATTCGATATGCCAAAAACAGTAACAACAAGTCTCGTAATGGAGACGTTACTGGGCCCGCTCAAGCAAATCAGTGAACAACAGAAGGGCAGTGCAGTGCAGGGCAGTGTCTACTTGTGAGATGTCATAATATATTGATGCATGTATGTTTATAATATATATGATGTGGTGTATGACATACCACTGTCTAGAACCATTGTTACTAAACTGACCTCATCTGGCAAACTTGTTAAATACGAAGATTCTAGTATTAATCATCCTCTCAACATACTTATTCACTAAGTCTTAAGTTGTGCTTATGAGTACCAGCTCCTCTGAGTGATTCTGAGTCACAGATAGTTTGGAAACCACATAACATGCCAATACTTTCAGTAAGCCACTACCTCCTTTCATACTGTACACTGTCTTAACGCAGTCTTCAAGATTAAAAATGTAATAAAGCAATTCATTCACATCAATCACTTTGTCAATTTATAGCTTTATTTTAAAATTTAAGTAAAATTATAATCCTGGTGTATCTTGATTCAGTTGAGCAAATATTTTAAAATTTCAGTTTTACATTAGGTTTTCCCTGTGGAGAGGAACTATGGGATTCTCATCTCTACCAGGCCTAGAACCCCCACACATAGGGGCTGGAGAGATAGTATAGCGGCTAGGGCGTTTACCTTATACACAGCTTTCTGAGGTTCAATCCCCAGCACCCCACATGGTCCCCTGTTGGAGTTCTCCCTGGTGTAGACCCTTGACTAGGGGTCTCAGGGCCCACAGAAAAGTCCCAAGTCCCAAGTTCTCTGGGAACAGGTCTTTTGCTGGGGAAATCTGTCGTAGTCAGAGAGTAACAGATTAAGAGGCATTGTTATTGCCTATTGGACAGACATCTCTGGGTGTGAGCCATACTTTAACCGTGCCTCTGCCTTAGAACTTCATGGACAGTGCTCCAGCAGCTTCCTAGCCATAACAACCTCCTTCTAACCTCTGCTATCTGCTCACTAGTGCATGTAGGCACATTTCTTCAGCCTCTACTTAACCCTTCCGTCTCCTTATAAGCTTTGTCATGTGACTATGAGTTTACAATCCAAGTGGGTGACTTCCTGATCTTGCTGCACACACAATTCTTTGAGCATCTGTTGCCCTAGGTTCAAGGAATCATCTTCACAGTCCTGGAGTCTCCATGGCCACTGGATAGCTGTAGTCCCAAAGACTGATCCCTGAGCACGAGGCAGGAGTGTAAGCCCTGACCACAGCCAGATGTACCCAACAAAACAAAAAACAGAGTTCCACACACTCAAAATAATGAATTATCTTCACTGGTAAAATTAGTAATGCAGGGGCCAGAGAGACAGTGCAGCAAGTCAGGCCTTGCCTTGCATACAGCCAACCCAACTTCAACCCCAGAAACCTGTATGATTCCCAAACACTGCCGGGTATGCCCCCCCCCCAAAAAAAAATCAGTGATGCAGAGAAAAAGTGACTAGAATACACAAGCATTTGCTGTAGCGAGTAAATAATACAACTAGCCAGATAAGACAGACTTTCTCCTATGAAATTGATTCATAGCAGTTGAGCATTTGAGAAATTTTAGGAACTAGAGAAAGCTAAGTGAGCTGAGCTTTGGAGCAGTGAGCTCAGTGAGCTCTCTCCAGTCCCTAAAATATTCCTTAGGTATAAAAATAACTTCAGGTGGCTGGAGAGATAGCACAGCGGTTAGGGCGTTGGTCTTGCACGCGGCCGACCTGGGTTCGATTCCCAGCATCCCATATGGTCCCCTGTGCATCACCAGGTGTGACCCAAAAAGCAAAAATAATAATAACTTCAGGGCCAGAGTGATAGTACAGTGGGTAGTTTGCACGCAGCCTACCTGAATTCGATCCCCAGTATCCCCTATGGTCCCTGGAGCAACGCCAGGGGTAATTCTTGACTGCAGAGCCAGAAATAACCTCTGAGCATCACTGGGTATGACCCAAAAAGCCAGTTAATCAATCAATCAACAAAATAGCTTCAGTTATAACCTGCGAACCATGATAATTGTTATGAAATTCTTTGAGAATTTGATGTTGGGTACTGTGCCACAAATACATGCAAATTCATGAACATTATCATTTATTGCATTTTATATCTAATACCTAAATTTGCAGACCCTGATTTCAAAAATTTTAAAAATAAGACATTCCATTGTAGAATTACCTGCATAACAGTTTAGAGTATATAATTTGTTTGCCTTTATTTTATGGGACTGTCTTTACCTCTTTTTCTCTTCCCTCATATTTCCTAAAGTACTTGGGGCTGGATTGGAGGAGGGGCGGCGGAACAGGCTAGGAGGATGGCTTAAAGGGCTGGCATATTTCTTTTCATGGCAGAGCCCTAGATTAAAGCCCAAAATGTTCCCAAGCACTGCTGATAGTGGCCCCAAATGCAAAACAGATTCAACAAAGAAATTTCCGACTGCAGGGACCACGTACAGTCCCTTGTACATGCAGACACTGCCTTACACAGAGTCAACCCACATTTGATTCCAGCATCCTGCATAGTCCCCTCATCCCCTCCAGGATTGATCCCAGAGCACAGTCCCAGAAGTAAGCCCTGAGCACTGCTGGGTGTGGTTCAGAAATCAAAAATACTCAGGTTTGGGTTTGGGGCAATACCTCAAGTAGTAGAGCACGTGCCTAGCATGTTCAAGGCCCTGAGTTTGGTCCTTGCAACTAGTTGCTCTCCACTACTAGCAACTGCTGGCACCTAGCATTGCTGTGGGTATGGCCGGTACTCTACCACTGGACCCTAGAACTGAACCATTAAACTCTTAATGTTAGGTTGAGCATCACCAGACCCCTGTGGAAAAATAAACTAAAACTTACAAAACTTATACTGTACAGAACATCTTAATATGTTAACATTTTTTGTCTTATTCAGATGTCCGGCTACTACTTAATAATGACAATCTCCTCAGAGAAGGGGCAGCACAGTAAGTATCTTTCTAAAGTCACTTACATGTTGTTCTAACTGAAAAGCTATGTTAATAGTAAGTTAGTACACTGAAACTAAGTTTAAATATAGATAAAATGGGACTAGAGCAATAGTATAGCAGGTAGGGCATTTGCCTTGCATGCAGCCGACCCAGGTTCGATCCCTGGCATCCAATATGGTCCCCCAAGCACTGCCAGGAATAATTTCCGACTGCAGAGCCAGGAATATCCCCTGAACATCACCAAGTGGGACCAGAAAAAACAAAAATAAATAAAAGATAATCAAAATGAAGCAATTAGGAGGCAAAGAGATAGTATAATGCATAAAACTTTTTTCTTGCAAATGGTTAACTTGGGTTTTATGCCCTAAACACAGCCAGGTGTGGCCCCCAAAAAAAACAATAAAATGGTTGTATGAGTTTTAGTGCTTTTCATAGAGAAAATATATACCTGCAAAGGTTATTTACTCCCTTTAAGGTTATCATATATAATGATATTTTTGCCAGATGTTTTAGTTTTTATTTTTTTCCCTTTCATTTTTTGGGCCATACCCACTGGTGCTTAGGGTTTATTTCTGGGTCTGCACTCAAGAATCACTCCTGGTGGAGCTTGGGGGATCATATGTGGTGTGGAAATTAAACTCAGGTCAGCTGTGTGCAATGTAAATGCCCTGCTTACCCACTGTACTTTTTCTCCCCTGATATTTTTCTTTTAAGGCAGAATTTGATACTGATTTTTAGGTTTTCTTTTATAGTTCTTTTCATTTATGTTGAGTTTTTTTAAACTAGTTATAGAGAGGCCAGAGCAATAATACAGTGGGTAGTGCGATGCACACAGCCAACCTGGATTGGATTCCCCGGCATCCCACACGGTCCCCTTAGCACCACCCTCTCCAATCCCATTTAGTGAAAGAAGTCACATGAGTTCTGTCAATAAATCCTGAATGCTTCTAGTAATAAGGAACTCGCCACTTCACAATATAAAGTTTTTCAGTTTGTTCATTTTACCATTCTTAGTTTTTGGATTTTCACTCCTAGCTCTATGCTCAGGGATCACTCCTGGCAGTGTTTGTGGATCTGGGTATCAAACCCATGTAAGCAAGACCCTTGTTCCCTGTGCTGTCTTCTCTAATCCCCCATTCTTGGTTCTGTCCTTGACAACTAACCCAAATAAATGAACTATGTACTTTTCTTGATAAGGTATTGCTAAAAGGGGGTCAAGAATATAATTTGGGGGGCTGGAGAGATAGCACAGCAGGTAGGGTGTTTGCCTTGCATGCGACCGACCCGGGTTCAATTCCCAGCATCCCATATGGTCCCCTGAGCACTGCCAGGAGTAACCCCTGTGCATGGCCGGGTGTGACCCCCCACCAAAAAAAAATAGAATGTAATTTGGTCCTAAGGGTTATTGCATTCTACACCTATTGTCCCATTTTCAATTATGATTGATACTAGAATTTGGTATGTATTTTAGATGCTTCAGTTGCTTTAATGGCATTGACATTAAAGCATTCTATTCTATTTGTAAATATTCTAATTCATTTAGACTCCAGATTCTTTTTTTTTTTTTAAGGCTTCAGATTCTTGATAAACTTTCTTGCTAACGAAGGATTGTCTTAAGGCCAGATAATGAATTTAGTTTTGTTTCTATAAGGAAGTTATTCAGTTCTTTAGAGTAAATATTTCAGTATTCACTCTTCTCATTACTGTTGGCATTTCTATAAAATGAAGAAACCTGAATGGCTTGGCACTTAACCATTTTTCTTTTTTCATCTATGTTTTTGATTACCAAAGAGAAATAGGGAATTATCTTTTGAATAGAGAATGATTTGATGAGACATGTTTTAAGTCACTGCCTGCTTTGCCAGGGTTCAGTGAGAAAGTTAGACGGCTTGGGCTGGAGCAATAGTATTGTGGTAGAGCATTTGCCTTGTGCATGGCCAATTCGAGTTCAGTCCCCAGCATCCTATATGGTTCCCTGAGCACCACCAGGAATAATTCCTGAGTTTCGTTTGGCCAGGAGTAAGCCCTGGGCATCGAAGGTGTGGCCCAAAAATAAACAACAAAACTAGAAAGTAAGATAGCTGTTAGAGTGTTTCCAGAATAAGTGTGATGTGAACCAGAGAGGTTGTAGTGGGAAGGTGTCAGATTCAGGATATGCACTCAAGGTTCAAACCTATGATATTCACTGATATTCAAACCTATGATATTCACTGTGAGAGACTGGAGAGGAAGTACAGGGGTTAAGCCTCTGACTCTTGTTCAGTTCCCTGGCATCAGAGGGACCCTTCAGTACAGCTGGGAGCAACTCCCAAACTAAATCATGTAGTGTGACCCTAAAACTAAAAAAATAAAAATAAAAATTCAAGTTTTTTAAAAGTGTGAGAGAATGAATTATTCATAATAATCCTGGGGTTTTGACCTGAGCAGTAGAATGAAGATAACATTTACTTGAGATTAAATTAAATGTAAATTTTTTTGGAAAGTAGAAAAGTTTATTGGAAAATAGAAGAGAAAGGAAAAAGAATTCCCCATCTGGGGAGGAGTTTAGTATAGGACTAAGTTTAAATGTAATTTTCTTTTTTTTTTTTTTATGTAGGAGTACTGCTTTTTATTCAGCCACTGATTAGCTGATTGAATTGGGCATGAACTCCACCTTTTTTTTAATAATTAATGTATTTTTTCCTTCTTATATTTATTTATTAAATCACTGTAGGAAAAGTTACAAAGCTTTCAGGTTTAAGTCTCGGTCATACAATGATCAGACACCTTTCCCTTCACCGGTACTCATTTTTCACCACCAAGAACCCCAATATACCCCCCTCACACCCCTCTCAATGCCTGCGAGGCAGATGATTTCCACTTAATTCTTCTCTACATTGATTACATTCATTATTTCAACAAAAGATGCACCATTATTGTTTAGAATTTCCCCCCCAACAATCAGAATTGCTGAAAAGGCATGGTGAAATACTTTGTTTTCTATAGCTAGTTATGAGAATCATATAATGATTTTGGATTTCTGCAAAGAGCCAGATAATTACGAGATTGTTTTCTGTGCATCTGGTGTTATGACTGTGCCGGAGAGCCACTCGTGGGGGGAACTCATGACCTCGATAGGGCGTGAAGGATGAGCCCGTACCACCCCACTTCCCATGAGACTGCAGTTGCCCCGTCACCACCAGCTCATACCTGGCTTTCCTATAAGCTCTGAGGCAGCGGCCACCTTGCTGCTGGGGGGGAACAGACGGAAGGGAGCAACACCCTTTCCCTCCCGGGGAAACATGGCACTGTAGTTGAACACCTGGTCCAATTCACTTTTCTGCCACAAGCTGCCGGGCTCTGGATTAAGTCCTTTTGCCTCTGGAGCCATGGCCGTGTCGGAGAGCTTGTGGGGGGCAACTCGTGACCTCGGTAGGGCATGAAGGACGAACCAGTACTACCCCTTTCCCATGAGACTGCAGTTGCCCTGTCACCGCGGGCTCAAACCTGCCTTTCCAATAAGCTCTGAGTTGGCGGCCACCTTGTATGCAGTCCAGATGCATTTCTGCCAAAAGCCACTAGGTTTTGAGATTTGTTTCTGAGTCTCTGGGATCATGGCCGTTAATCAGCTTGATCAGGAGCCAGAGAGGCCATTTGTAGGTGGCGACTTGGGGTCTCGTTGGGATGGGGAGGAAAGGGCCGGTTCCACCCCCATCTGGTGAGGCTCTGCGTGTCTCGTCACTGCAGGCCCAAACCTGACTGTCCAGTGGCCTCGAGGATGGCAGTCACCGGGCCGCAAGGGGGAACAGGCCAAGGCACAAAACCTATTTCCACTTGGAGTGGCCCAGTGCCAGTAACCTACTGCAGGAACAGGACGGATTTCTGCCAAAAGCCTTTGGGTTCCGAGATTTGTTTCTGAGTCTCTGGGATCATGACCATTAAGCAGTTCAATCAGAAACCAGAGAGGTCATGCCTCCAATTATATAGCTGAGCCCGAGGTTGTGTGTGGGTGTGTCTTCCACATACCTAACTTTTGGCCCTTTACTTTCTTGGTAAACATTGCCCCAAGTTTTGGGGGTCTGGCCAAAGGCACAGCAGCAATTTTGGGGTATCTGAAAGTCTTGACAGTGCCATCAGACTGCTGATGCACTCTCCTCACAGGTTGACCTGCTGGTGGCACCATACCCCCTAAATGTAAATTTTTTAATGTTAACAAATTTTGGTATTCATCTTTGTAATCACTATGGTGTTAGATGCTATCTTAAAACTGATTAATTTGGGGTGAGGGTGGGGGTGGCTTGAAGGGGTGGGAGGGAAACTAGGGACCCTGGTGCTGGGAAATTACGCTGGTGGAGGGATGGGTGAACATTGTATGACTGAAACACAATTGTTAACAATTTTGTAATGTTCTATCTCACAGTGATTTTTAAAATATATATATATATGATTAATTTGGGACTGGAGTGATAGTACAGTGGATAGGGCACTAGTCTTAGACCGACCAGCCTGGGTTCTTTCCCCACTATCCTTATATGTTTCCCCAAGCCTTGCCAGGAATGATCCCTGAACACAGAGCTCAGCTAGCTGCCCCAGCTGCCCCTAAGCATCACCGTGTGGCACAAAAACACAGTGCTAAATTTACTTCCTATACCTTAAGCTTTAGGAAAACGTTGTTCATTATCCATGGACATTCAGTTACTGGCTCTTTTAAAGAGCCAGTATGTTTGAAACTCATTGTTAACTGGAGAATATTGTTTGTTTTTGTTTGTGGGGGGGAATTGTTTTGTTCTGTTTTGTTTTGGGTCACACCTGGCTATGTTCAGGGATTACTCCTGGCTCTGCACTCAGGGATTACTCCTGTTAGACTCTGGGTGCCAGAAATCAAACCCAGGTCAGCCACACCTGGAAAATGCCCTACACGTTCTACTATAGCTCCAGCCCTGAAGGAAGTACTTTTTTGTTTTGGGTTTTGGGGGCCACACCCGTCAGTGCTCATGGGTTATTCTTGGCTCTGTGCCCAGGAATTACTCCTGGCAGTGCTTGGGGGACCATATGGGATGCCAGAAATAGAACCCGGGACAGCTGTATGCATGGCAAGAGCCTTACCCTCGTACTCTCTCTCCAACCCCAGGATGTAGTTTTAGAAGGAACTTCTTTATTAAAAATCAACACGGAGCCAGAGCAGTAGTACAGTGGGTAAGGCGCTTGCCTTGCCTGCAGCAATCCTGCCTTACCAGGTTCAATCCTGGCATTCTGTTTAGTGCCCTGAGTACCACTGGGATAATTCCTGAGTGAAGAGCCAAGAGTAATCCACTGGGCCAGTTGTGGCCCAAAAACAAGACAAATGACCACAATAACAGAAAATTAGAGAATTATAAACATTCAGAGAACTTTAAATATTTATTGTTTCAGTTCTTGCTTAGTTTCCTTTGAGAACTCTAGGACAAGTTTAATGCTCTGCTTAAAAATGGTGGTCTTGGGCTGGAGAGGTAGCACAGCTGGTAGGGCGTTTGCCTTGCAAGCGGCCAACCCAGGTTCAAATCCCAGCATCCCATATGGTCCCTTGAGCACCACCAGGAGTAATTCCTGAGTGCAGAGCCAGGAGTAAACTCCTGTGTATGCTGTTGTGACCCAAAAGGGGGGGGGGGGGGAAATGGTGGTCTTGGGGGCGCAAAGATAAGTACAGCGGGTAAGACTCTAGTCTTCAGTACCACTGGAATTGATCCCTAAGCATAGATCCAGTATTCTCCCTGAGTACAGCCAGTAGTCTGACCCAAAAACCCTTGCAGGGGTTGAGGGGGGTTCTTGAGCCTAACATAGTGTATGTTAGGACTGTTATTGGGGCAGAAGTTATAGTCTAGCAGGTAGGGCGCTTACTTTGCACATGACATAGAACCTAGAATAGAACCAAGAGGAAAGCCCTGAGCACTGCCAGGTGTGGCTGCCTCCACCCAAAAATAGAAGATGAAAGAAAATACAGTTTTATAAACTGATTATGGATAAATGGTAGTTTGGTGTTATCCACATATTTTGTTACTCATGTTTTTCCAACCCCATAAGGCCACACCTGGTGGCACTCAGGACCATCCGCAGTAATGATACCTGATGAGCTTCATGCAAGCATCTTAACCATGTACCGTCTCTCCTGCCCCCTTCTGTCTCTTTTTGAAAATTAAATTGTATGCCTTAAACTCTACTCTAATACTTTGGACTTGCTTAGCTAGCTCTCAGCTCATTCTCTCAGCCTTTACTAACATCGGTCACATTTGAATTTGGTGTACCCTAGGACTAAAGGGATAGTCTTTGTGCTGAGTGCCTGCTTTGCATGGGGAAGATCTGGGTTCCATCCCAAGTCTGGGAGGAGCCACCACCACCAGTGAGCCCCCAAGCACCCGCCAAAAAATGGGAGTCTGGATCCTGCCCTATCTCAAAAACCCAGCATAAGAAAAACAACTTTTCCCAGTTTGTCCTTCAGTTGCAGCCTCCTGAACTAAATGGTATTTCTTAAATCACTAAAACTGTAGGCAGTCCACAATAATCAGATTGCTTAAATGCTGAGAATTGTCTAAATGGAAGTGCTGTTGGAGTTTTATATTGGAGGGAAAATTACAAATTATAGTGCACATCAGAAAACTGGAAAAGAGTTTCTTCAGAAAGCTAGAAAGTATTCTGATAACCCTAGTAGTCTGGAGAGAGCACGGCAAAGCACCAGGGACTGTTTTCACACTCTTCCACTATTGTTTGAATGACTTTTATGCTTATTGATATAAAACTATTTTCCTGTGGTTATTTATACATAATTATTTTCTCTCTTTTTTAACTTTTAAAACAACAGTGCATTTGCCCAATATAACATGGATCAGTTCACACCTGTGAAGATAGAAGGATATGAAGATCAGGTAATGATTGTTCTTATTAAATAGGCTATGCCTTCGGCTGGAGCGATAGCACAGTGGGTAGGGTGTTAGCCTTGCACACGGCCAGACCAAATTTGATTCCCAGCATCCCGTATGGTCCCCAAGTACCGCCAGGAATAACTCCTGAGTGCATTTGCCAGGAGTAACCCCTGAGCATCGCTTAGTGTGACCCAAAAAAGAAGAAGAAAAAAAAAGCTATGCCTCAATGGTAATAGAAATCCTGTAAACCAAAGCAGATATCTGAAGATAAGATAACAGATTTATGTTACAGTTTTTGTAAATACTGTATTATTTGGAAGTTTTTCCTCTGACAGTGCTAGGATCTTCTTTGACAGAAAGAGAACTGCCTATTTGTGAATGTAAGACTGGGGAGATTGCGTAAGGGACTGGAGCAATGCATGTGGGGGGCCCCTGTGTTTGATCCCTGGCACATGGTTTCCCTGAGCACTGAGTTGAGACTAACCCCTGCATACAACCAGGTGTGGTTCCAATAAAAAATAAAATAGAATTGGTTCCAGAGAGATAGTACAACACATAAGGCTGTATTTTTTATAGCAAAAATAAAAATAAAATACAATAGTGACTCATAACAAGCAATACAAAATAAATTATTTAGCATCTGCCTGTGGGGCAGGCTTGAGTGATGGTGGGAAAAATAGAAATAATGGTGGTGGAAGTGTATTGGTGGTGGAACTGGTGTTGAAGTATTGAATGTAATCAATTATTGTGAACAACTTTATGAAAATAAAATTGAAAAAAATTGTAAATAAAATTGAAAAAATATAAGAGTAAATATGAAAAGGAGTTTTCAGTTTGGGCTTTTTGTTTGGTTTTTGGACCATACCTGGCTGTGCCTAGGACTTATTCCTGGCTCTGTGCTTATGGATCACTCCTGATGGGACTCAGGGAACCATACGGTGTGACAGGGATTGAACCCAGGTCATCTGCCTTCAAGGCAAGTACCCTACCAGCTATATTATTTCTCCAGGCCTGACAGTTTCTGTCTCCAAATCTTCTTTCTGAAACTCAAATGATATATTTAATATGAAACAGACATCTCTATTCAAATACAGAAAGAACGCAAGTGTTCCCATTTTTTCCATAATTATTAACATCTGACAGGCTTTACAGATTTGTTGTTACAGATTTGTTCCCTTTACAAATTTGGTGGCGTACAAACAACCAACAAGCAAATGCAATTGGTGCAAAATTACAAATTTACAGAATTTATTCTAGGAAAATAAGTGGAGAGCATATATTACTTTCCTCGGGATTTTTTTGTACTACTAAAAGATAGTACAGTAAGTTAAGTGCTTTTCCTGCACTCACATGGCCCTAATTTAATCCCTGGCACCACATATGGTTCCCTGAGCACTGCCTGGATAAACAATGAGCACAGACCAAGAGTAAGCCCTGACACTGCTGGTATCGCCCCCAAAAACAAAACAAAATGCAAACACAAAAAGATTATTTGTGGGAATGGAGTGATAGCACAGCAGGTAGGACATTTGCCTTGCATGCAGCCAACGCGGGTTCAGTTCCCGGCATCCCATATGGTCCCTTGAGCGCCACCAGGAGTAATTCCTGAGTGCAGAGCCAGGAGTAACCCCTGTGCATCGCCGGATGTGACCCAGAAAGCAAACAAAAGAAAAAGATTATTTGATGGAAGCATTATAGTAGTGAAAAAATATTGAAAACTGATATATTGAACTGGGAAGATATTCGTGATATGTTCAGGTAAAATTTAAAGCACCATTATAGAACAAACAAAACATGTTCCAATGTGCTGATACATCCCGTTTTGTGAAATGTGAAATTATAGGAAGTATATATACATCTTAAGATAGACGAATTGTGCAGTGCTTGGGAGCAGAGCCGGTTTCTCCCTGGTGATGCATGGGTGACCATGCAGTGCCAAGGATTGAACCTGAGTCTCTCCCCATGCAGTGCATTGCACACTAACTTTCAAGCCTTCTCCTTGGCTATAATTCTATTTTATTGCGGGGACGGGGGCCATAGGGATTGGGCCGTACCTGGCAGTGCTCAGGGCTTAGTATAGCTCTGCTCTCAGGAATCACACCTGGAATTCATCAGTGGACCATATGTGGTGCCAGGAATTGAACCCAGGTCAAGCTGCATGCAAGGCAAATGCCCTACCTGCTGTACTGTCTCCCCGGCCCCCTCATGTTATTATTTAAGAGGAAATATAAATCACAGATGTGTTAAAATCAGTGTATCATAAATACTTAGATAAATTTATGATATACATAAATTCATAAATACCATTATTTTATGTACCACCAAAAAAAAGAATACTTAAGCTCTAGCACAACAAAACATGTTCCAATGTGCTGATACATCCCATTTTGTGAAATGTGAAATTATAGGAAGTATATATACATCTTAAGATAGACGAAATTGTGTAGAAAGAAATATGAATGAAATATACACCGAACTGTTAGGATTATAGAATGATTGGAATTTGTTTCACTTGTTTTGGTTTATATTTTTGTTTACCTTAATTTTCTCAAAGATTGATTACAAGACAAAAAATACTGGAAATAGTTTGTTGCTTACAGTTGATGCTGTCTAATGATAATAATAATTGTAAGGTATGAGATCTATGTTGATATATAGCTAAGTTGGTCAGGGATATAACTCAATAGAATTCCCTTGCATGTAACTTGTGCTGGGTTTGGTCTCCAGCACGGACTGCATCCAAAATAGGGCCAGAGAGTTAGTACATCAGCTAGTAGTACATCAGTACATTGGACACGGCTAATCTGGATTCAATCCCTGGCACCTCATATGATTCCCTATGTACCACCAGGAGTAATTCTGAGTGCAGAGCCAGGAGTAATACCCTGAATATTACCGGTTATGCCCGACCCTCACTACCCGTCCCATCCCCCCCCCAAAAAAAAATTAGTCAAAAGATATTTTGGGGCTGGAGCAATAGCATAGTGGGTAGGGTGTTTGCCTTGCATGCAGCCGACCCAGGTTCAATTCCCAACATCCCATATGGTCCCCCGAGCACCACCAGCAATAATTCCTGAGTGCAGAATTAGGAATAACCTCTGAGCATTGCTGGGTGTGAACCAAAAAGCAAAAAAAAAAAAAAAAAAGCATTTTTAATCATTGTAATAGTAGTAGCAGAAAGACATTTCCCAAACATTAAAAAAAAAGATTTGAATTATTAATGAGGATGCCAGAACTGTAAATAAAAATTAAGTAAAAGTAATAGTTCACAGAACAAGAAATACACATGGCATTTTTGTTTGTTTGTAGGTCATACCTGGTAGTGCTCAGGGGTTACTCCTGGCTCTGCACTCAGGAATTATTCCTGGTGTTGCCTGGAAGACTATATGGGATGCTGGGGGTCAAACCCGGGTTGGTTGCGTGCAAGGCACATGCCCTATCCTCTGTATACGGTCACTCCAGCCCTCACCCATTGTTTTTGTGGAAGAGGGAATCACTCCTGACTGTGCTCAATTCTGACCATTGAACCTGGGCCACCCATATGCAAAGCATATATCCAATCCTTTGAACTATCTGAGCAGCCCATACTTTTCTTTCATTTGAGTATGTTTTTGGTTTTCTGTTTGGCTCTATCACTCTGACTCAAATATGCACTTTTGTGTTTTTTCACATATTTTATGAATACAAAAGAGGTAACACTCATTAAAAATGACAAAGGAGGCAGAGAGATAGTATAGTGGGCCTTTGTACTCAGCCAACCCGGGTTCCATCCCCTCTAGAAGCACATGGAACCAGGAGTATGCCCTAAGCATTGCTGGGTATATACCTCCACCTTCCCTAAAAAATATAAAAAATAAAAATACTGTACCTGTGGTTTGTTTCAGCTATGTATAAACTATATATATAGGTAGTATAACTGGAACCAAAATTATAGTCTATTGTTAGAATGGGGGAAATGTTGACAGTTTAGTATAATTTTTAGTATAATTCAACTTTATTACATCTGCAAACTGGCGTCTGCCCTTGTATACCACTCTACAGACCAGCAGTTATAACCAAGGCAGTAGGCCAATGGTTTTCAACCTTTTAGCATCTGTACGCCAGTACCAAGACCGGTGATTTAAAGTTGACTTACCCATATTTTATAAGGATAGTTTTGGTTGCAAAGTATGAAAGACAAATTTGAATGCAAATTTAACTGTTTTCTTCAACTTTTTGTTTGCTTTGTAAAATGTTACGACTTTATTTTTGCACTAATACCTGTAATTATTCTTTAAAAGGTTTTAATTACAGAACATGGTGACCTGGGCAATAGCAGATTTTTAGATCCAAGAAACAAGATTTCCTTTAAGTTTGATCACTTACGGAAAGAAGCCAGTGACCCCCAGCCCGAGGACACAGATGGTAGTCTGAAGTCGTGGAGAGAATCCTGTGACAGTGCTTTAAGGGCCTATGTGAAAGATCACTATTCCAACGGCTTCTGTACTGTTAAGTATATGCCTGCTTCTTTATCAGTGTTTTATATCTTTCACTTACCTTGTCTTTGGGGAATTTTGACGGCCAAAAAAGCATTTTGTTCTTAACTACCAACGGTTTTCCCTGCACTTCACTCCCTGAGATGTTTGAAAGAGGTACAGATGGGAAAAAAACTTTTAAATACCAGTGCAGGGGCTGGAGTGATAGCACAGAGGGTAGAGCATTTGCCTTGCACGTGGCCAACCCGGGTTCGATTCCCAGCATCCCATATGGTCCCCCGAGCACCACCAGGAGTAATTCCTGAGTGCATAAGCCAGGAGTAACCCCTGTGCATCACCGGGTGTGACCCAAAAAGCAAAAAATAAATAAATACCAGTGCATAGAACAAAAAAATGTCAATATATGCTAGTCTTTAAGGTTTCCAGCTTAGACATGAGAAAAAATAAAGGGTTAGAAAGATAGTGGTAAGCCACTTGCCTTGCACTTAGCCAAACCAAGTATGTTCCCCAGCACCCCATAAGGTCTCCCAAGCCCCACCAGGAGCAATAAGACCTGAGCTCTGTGGGGTATGGCTCACACACCAAATAGGTCCTGGGAGTTCTTTCTGGTAGGCACTTTTGGGCCCACCCACGACTATGCAAGGGGCTACACAGACTGGGGGTTGGACCCCCATCTCTGACCTGTGGAGCATGTAGTCAGGCCATTCAACCTTGTCCCCTACTGATGGGAACTTATTTTAAGACCCCATCTACATACTATAGCTCTTTTTATTGAATAATCAAATATTTTTTAATGAAACGCATCTTTTAAAAATTGTATTTTGGGAAACAGGGAAAGAGTACAGCAGGTAGGGTGCTCTCCTTGCATGTAACCAACTGGGTTTGATCCCCGCCATCTCCTATAGTCCTCTGAGCACTACCAGGACTAATTTCTAAGTGCAGAGCGAAGAGTGACCCCTGAGCACTGCTGGGTGTGCTCTCAAAACTAAAAATGATACTTAATAAGGGTCACTTCTAGCAGTGCTGGACTCGTGACAGTGCTCAGCCATTATCATGACTACCTGACAGTTTGATGCTCGGATCCAGCACTGCTCTGGGGTTCTAGAGCCATGCTTGGTGGTGCAGACCAGGTGATGTGGCAGTAGGGATTGAACACATTTATTACTGAACTATCTCCTTGCTGCCTAAACAGTTTTTTTAATCAAGGGTGATTTAGGTCAGAGAGATAGTACCAGGTTAAGATGCTTGCCTTGTATGTAGCCCACCCCAGCATCTTTTCTTTTTTTTAATTCTTATTATTGAAACACCAAGAGGTACAGTTGTAGACTTACAAATCTTTGTGCTTGGGTTTCAGTTATACAATGATCGAGTACCCATCCCTCCACTAGTGCCCATTCTCCACCACCACTAATCCCAGTATCCCTCCCACACCCCATCCCCCCATCCCACCCTGCCTCTGTGGCAGGGCACTCCCTTTTGTTCTCTCTCTCCTTTTGGGTGCTATGGTTTGCAAAAGAGGCATTGAGTGGTTGTCATGTTCAGTCTGTAGTCTACTTTCAGCATCTCCTATCCTGGGTGGATCTTCCCAATACCCTTTATTTGGTACTCCCTTCTCTATCTGAACTGCCTTTACCCCTAAAGTGTGCGTCTGGCCTCCGAGCCATGGAGTAAACTTCCTCATATTTATCTTGGCTATTCTTGCCACCCCAGCATTTTATAGGGCTTCTGAGCACCACTGAGCTTGGCTCATAAACAATAACAACAAAAAAGGAAAGCAAAAAGTAATTTGACATTTTTTAATTATTTACTAAAAGTGAAAAATTTGGGTTGGGCCAGTGAGCTAGCCCAGGGGTTAAGTTGCTTCCCTTGCATGTAGCCATCCCTAGTTTGATCCCCCTACTACCAGGAGTAAGATCTAACATGACTGCGTGTGACCCCAAAATTCAATAAATTCTTAAAAATACAGTTCTATCATGATTTCTACTTTAAAATTGTAGTATATTGGGGCTGGAGCGATAGCACAATGGGTAGGACATTTGCCTTGCATGTGGCCGACCCCGGTTTGATTCCTAGCACCCCATATGATCCCCTCGAGAACCGCCAGGAGTAATTACTGAGTGCATAAACCAGGAGTAACCCCTGTGCACCGCTGGGTGTGACCCAAAAAGCAAAAAATAATAATAAAAAATAAAAATTGTAGTGTGTTGGGCTGGAGCAATAGCACAGCGGATAGGGTGTTTGCCTTGCATGCAACCAACCCAGGTTCGATTCCTCCGCCCCTCTCGGAGAGCCCAGCAAGCTACCAAGAGTATTCTGCCCGCACGGCAAAGCCTGGCAAGCTACCCATGATGTATTCGATATGCCAAAAACAGTAAGAACAAGTTTCACAATGGAGACATTACTGGTGCCCACTCAAGAAAATCGATGAACAACGGGAGGGCGGTGATGGTGACATTAGTCTGTTAATTAGAAAAATGTAAAATATTTAATTAAGGGGGGGGGGGACTTACTTTGAAGCCATACTGATTGGTTGAAATCTAGCCCTTCCACTAAATTAGATATGTGATTTGTAATTATTTAATTTTTTTTGGTCATTCTTTTGCCTTAGTTTTTTCATTTGTAAAATGGAAATAGTTCGGAGCTGGAGTGATAGCACAGCTGGTAGGGCGTTTGCCTTGCATGCGGGTCGATCCGGGTTCGATTCCCAGTATCCCATATGGTCCCCCGAGCACGGCCAGGAGTAATTCCTGAGTGCATGAACCAGGAGTAACCCCAGTGCATCGCTGGGTGTGACCCAAAAAGCAAAAAAAAAAATTCTTACAGAATTGATGTGAGGAATGAATGAGTTCATAATGCATATAAGTGCTTGCAATATACCTAGCACAGAGTAGATGATGCACTCTACATGAGTGCTATATATCAATATTTATATTTGATTTCTAGAAGTTGTATTTTGTTTAGGACTTTTGTGTCAGGATCTTCTGTTATGTTTCTTCTTTTTCTGTATCTTTGTAAATGTTGGCACTTCTCATTTTTTGTGTTCTCTTTAAAACTCCGTTTATTCAGAGACTGAAGAGATAGGGCGTAAAGTTGCGAGCCTTATACACGGCCAACCCCGGTTCCATCCCCGGCACCTCATATATTTCCCTGAGCCTCACCAGGAGTGATCTCTGAATGCAAAGCCAGGAATAAGCAAGCCCTGAGTACCGCTGAGGTGGATCCAAAACAAACACTTTGTTTAATTTAGGGAAAGTAGCATGAAATGGAATCAGCAAAGCAGTATGTTCTGTCTTCACCTATTTTCTGAAGGATGTTAGGAAAGAAGTCATAAATAAAAGGTAGCAGTGTTTTTCAACTGATTTAACTGAACAAAGGAACCTAAATGTATAATCATTTGTGAGTTGTAAAACATGACGGTTGGGAGGGTTTAGGCTTTCACATTTCTGTGTATCCCATGTTAAGGATCAGTTTTTCTTACTGCTAGTTTGACGTTTCCAGTCAGATTTCCCAGTATGTTAATGACATCATCGTTCTAGTTATGTGCGTAAATACTTTAGTTCTTTTGACCTTCACTAGCAATATATTGCTAACTTTTGACTGTGCCTCTACTTCCTGAAAACTGTACTACCTACCCTCGCTTATTAATTCCATGACCTAGATTAATTCCGTGACCTCTTAACCAACATCCAGCTTTTCTTCTGTATTACTCTGTACTCCCCCAGAACAGTAGTTCTGGTTATATAGTTTTGGTCTCTGCATTGCCTATAGAATAAAACCTAGTCTTAACTTCGTATTACTACATGACCTAACCTTACCGTCCTGTATTGCCTCCTACTGGTCCATATGCCCTATCCTATTAGAATTAATTAGCACTCATTAAGCCTTCCGTTTTCTGCCTCTGAACCATTCTCATCTTTATTCTGCTTCTCAGAATTACCAAAAAAAGGCCTTTTGTAAATGGTACTGTCCTTCCATCTTAAATGGCCACAGGTGACCCTGTTTTCATTGTAGCACCACTTCCATTAGAACATGTTCTGCTTTGTGTTCATATCCCATGAGCAATTGTAAATTCATTCTGTCTGGTTTATCTCCCCAAGGATTTAACACACTGCATTTTTATTCATTATCTAGAGTGTGCTTTCAGAACCTAACTTTTTTTTTTTTAATAATAGGTTTATGCTAAAACTATAGATGGGCAACAGACCATTATTGCATGCATTGAAAGCCACCAATTTCAGCCTAAAAATTTCTGGTAAGAAAGTACATGTTCTCTTCTGTTTGTATCTAACAGATTGGAAAGAAACCAGACTAGCTGTTAAATTTCTAGATTAAAAACTGGAGACTTGGTTTTTAATCTGATTAGGTTGGAATAAATTATTAGACTTAAAGATTTCAGTTCCCCTTCTGTAAATGGAGGGATGTACATGTGATCATTTAGATTAGTTCCTGTTATAAGATATAAAAATCTAGATATATCCATCAGATTCTGACTAGATTCTTCCTTTCCTTACAGACACTGGTCTCACAAGTATAGTTGGTGGTGAATGTTCCTAAAATCTGGTGGACTTGGTTAAAAATGTGGCAAACATCAGCCCCACAAAGTCTTGCAGAGGGCAAGATTTCTCTCTATGCCTAGGGAAAGTGGCATTAAAACAGGAAAATGGGTTTGGATCAATAATACAGCAGGCAGGCTGCTTTCCTTGCACGTGGCCTACCTGGGTTTCATCCCTGTTACCCGTTGTGGTACCCCTGTTACCCAACACCTCCAGGAGAAATCCCTGAGTGTAGAGCATGGAGTAAACCCTGAGCAGCTCCCAAATGTATCCCCCCCCCAAAAAAAAAATTTTTTTTTTCTTTTTAAATAACACACAGGAAGAACTTTCCATGAATAAAATAGATGTGGTTTTTAACTCTAAGGAAAAGTGAGAGGTAATTTGGAAAACATTATGGACACTAAAAATAGTATTTCTTTTCCTCTGTACCCATGGCTCTGCTTCGGTTGCTAATTGCATCTTGTGGGGGTTTTTTGTAGTTCTGCATTGTTATGTGTATTTGTTTTCATAGGAATGGTCGTTGGAGATCAGAGTGGAAGTTCACCATCACACCACCTACAGCTCAAGTGGTGGGAGTACTTAAAATACAGGTGAGATCTCAATATCTTAGTGGACCATTTTAAAATATCAATGCTTTTTTATTCAGACCTACCCAATATCGGGCTGGAGCGATAGCACAGCTGGTAGGGCCTTTGCCTTGCACGCAGCCAACGTGGCCGACCCGAGTTTGATTCCTCCGCCCCTCTCGGAGAGCCTGGCAAGCTACCGGTGACATATTTGTTATGCCAAACACAGTAACAAGTGTCAAAATGGAGATGTTACTGGGCCTGCTCGAGCAAATCTATGAACAACGGGAGGACAGTGACAGTGACCCAATTTCTGCTCGAGGCCTAGGAGCCACACCCAGAGATACTCAGGCAACCAGGCCAGATCATTTATAGCTCAGGCTCAGTGGTGCTGGGAACCACAAGGGGAACTCCAGTGATGCTCAAGAGCTAATAGGATCATACTTGGTGGTACTCGGGGTCCTCCAGAGCTATATACTAGGAGTTCATGCAACTCTGAGCATCAGACTAATTCCCCAAATGCAAGGCATGTGCTCCTGACCTCTGGTTAATCTCCCCAGCCCAAATATCACATCCTGTAACAAACATGCAATTGATATCTCTTATATTAGAAATAAAATTCAGCTATATGTAGAATTAAAAGGATTTTGGTGTCTAAGTATTGCTTAAATACAATGGTCAATTCAGGATTGTTCAAGAATAGTCATCTGGAGTGTACAGTGTTTAATAGAGGGGGTCCCCAGCAGTGCTCCAGTCCCTGGACCCACTACAGGTATGGCCTGACATTTCAGACCTGAAGTTAGGTCCACAGCCCTGCAGTGTCCTGCACAGCCCTTCAGGGTCTCACCAGGATCACTCCTGGTAAGCTGGGCTGGGCTGGACTATACAATTCCAGAACTCCAACTCAGGACTCATGCATGCTCAGCATCTCTGAACTATTTCCCCAGTTCTTTCTCCTTTTTGTTCATTTGTTGGGGTGAGGGGAGGGCCAGGGGTGGCACAGAGGACGACTCTCCAACAGTCCTGGGCACTACCAGGACTGTGCCTAGCAGTTCTTGGAAAACCATGTAATGCCAGGGATTGTACCCAGATCCCTGACAGCCCTTTGAGCTATCTTATCCTTTCCTTGCTTAATTTAGTTTCTATACAGTAATGACAGATGGGGAGGGGGGGCGTTAATATTAAACATCATGGTTTTTAATACTGTAGTGATGGGGTTTCGTGTATACATTGTTCCCACACCACACCCTCCACCAGAGTGCCCTGCCTTCCCCTATGATGGATGATTCTTTTAATCATTTAAATTTTAAAAATGAGAAACTAAAGAGAATGACCAAGAGTCATGTTAGGTAATAAAATAACCAAGTAGAGCAAGTTTCTAGTGCTGGTGGTGGGACTGAGATATTTACTTATCTGGATTGAAATCTTTCTTCGCATTGGGTTGGGGGGGTGTGGCTGGACCATCTCCCGTGGTGCTAGGACTTATGGCTCTGTTCTCATGAATCGCTATTAGCAGGACTTGGCACCACAAGGGGTTCCAGGGATCAAAACAGGATTCTATCATAAAGATAATCCAGCAGATTGGGCACTGTTTACCTTGCACTCAACTGACACAGGTTTGATCACTAGCACCCCATATGGTTCCCCAAACCTACCAGGAGTGATCCCTGAATGAAGAACCAGGACTAAGCTCAAAACACAGCCTGGTGTAGCCCACAAAACAAAACAAAAATGTCTATGAAATACTGTTTATTCAGAATTGGTGAAGATCGGGGGTGGCTTAGGTGTGGTTTGTGCTCTGAGCATAGGTTTCTATATGAACTACACATAAACTTGGTCAATTTTCTCACACAGGTTCACTATTATGAAGATGGAAATGTTCAGTTAGTTAGTCATAAAGACGTACAAGATTCAGTAACTGTTTCGGTGAGTATGGGATATTCTTTCAATTATATGCCAAACACAGTAACAACAAAGTCTCCAATGGAGACGTTACTGGGCCCGCTCGAGCAAATCGACGATCAACGGGAGGGCCTTTACCTTTACCTTTCCTTGAAAAATTAGTTTTGGTGACCAGAGAGATTGTAAGAAGTTAAGGCATTTGTCTTTTATGTGATTGACCCTGGTTTGATCATTGGAACCACATACGATCGATCCCCTGAGTACCTTAAAGAGTAACACCTGAGTAGCAAAAATATATAGCCAAAAAAATAGTTTTGATGCTAGCCTTTAGAAAATCAGTTTGCTTTCAATACTTTGATTAAGAGATGATTATGAGAGCTTATTTTAAGAGTGATAGAACAGTGGGTAGAGTGCTTGGTTTGCACATGGCAGACCTAGGTTTGATCCCCAGTATCCCATATGGTATATGGGGAGAGTGGAAACAACAGATAATTTTTTCTTAGTTTAGTGAAAATAGGTGATACTATTGACTATTGTAAAGAATCTTGGGGCTATAGCTCTAAATATTAAGTCTTTTACCCTATTTCCTTTCATGTTCTCTTTTTGTGATTTTTGTTGGTTCTGTATTTTGGGTTCCACTCCTGACTGTGCTCAGACCATACTCCTTGCTTTTGCTCAGGGATCACATTTGGTGGGACTTGGAGGGACCATATGCCTTGCCAGATTTTGAACCAAGCTTGACTATATTTAAGGCAAGCACCTTGCCTGATGTACTGTCTCTACATCTTACCCTTTTATTCTCTCTTACTTAATGGTGACTGAAAGAATTCAACTATTTTTTTTCTTTTTGGGTCACACCCAGCGATGCTCAGGGGTTACTCCTGGCTCATGCACTCAGGAATTACTCCTGGCAGTGCTCGGGGGACCAGATCGGATGCTGGGAATCGAACCCGGGTCGGCCATGTTGGCTGCGTGTAAGGCAAACACCCTACCCGCTGTGCTATCGCTCCAGCCCCAAGAATTCAACTAATGTTAGAGCTGGAGAGATAGTACAGCAGACAGAGTGCTTACCTTGCATGTGGTCAACTCAGGGAACATCCCGGCATTCTATATGTCCCCCAACATCCCCACTCCCTAGGAGTGATCCCAGAGTGCTGTGCCAGGAATAAGCCTTCAGGTAACCCAAAAACAAGAGAGTGAGAGATTCGATTCATTTCATACTGGAATCCTTTAAGGCAATATGTGATTAGTTACTTGACATCATCATTTACGCAAGTGGGGGGATATATAACTGATATGTCTGAGGAGAATGTTTATATCATATACCAGAGGTATTTTCAGGTTTTTAAAAAAATTGCATTCTTCTACCTGGGATCAACTCCAGCCCCTCACACATTCAAGACATGTGCTCTACTACTGTGAAAAATTCTAGCCCACAGTCATAAAAATGTCAGGATATTTCCATGTCTTTTGGCAGTAGGCCAGTTGATTGGAAAGAACATGAAGGTTTTTTGGTTAAGATCTAGATTCAGATCCCATATTTATGATTCAAAAAGAGCAGCACTTTTGGCTAGAGAGGTAATAAAGCAGGGGAGGTGCTTGCCTCACGTGCAGTTGTCCCAGGTTTGGCTGCATATAGTCCCCATAAGCCCCAACAGGAGTGATTCCTGGGCACAGAGCCAGGAGTAAGCCCTGAGCACTACAGGTGTGACCCCAGGAAGGGAGGAAAAAAAGGGAGGGAAGGAGAGGACGGAATAGTTTAGGTTTGGTTGAGTCACATAAGAGAATTTCTGTTTTTCTCATCCGCAGAACAGATAGATGTGTTTCATAGGGTTTTGAGAATCAAATAAGGTAATTTGCAGGCCTTATTCTGTGCACTGAGCTCATGCTTTGCATACAGGAAGCATAGTTTTATCCCTGAGCACTGAGCTGAGAATAGCCTCTAAGCAATACCAGGTCTGGCCCAAAACCTTAAAAAAAAAAAAAAGAAAAGAAAGGAAGGAAGAGGGCGTGATCTGCTGGAAACACTTGATAAAAACTGCTATAGAAGTGTTAATTAAGATAGATTTACTTTACAGAGTCCTCATCTCTTATACATTTTTTTAAAAAAATCCTTATTTTCCCTATTCCCTTCTTCCATTAGAATGAAGTCCAAACTGCCAAGGAATTTATTAAAATCATAGAGCATGCAGAAAATGAGTATCAGGTAAGACAATGTGGAACTGACTTTTCTAGATATGTAATACTTTATTACTTTTGTCCTATCAACATGTCTTAACTTCTCTCTCTGGGTTTTTGGTTTTTTTTTTCTTTTTGGGTCATACCCCTCGATGCTCAGGGGTTACTCCTGGCTCATGCACTCAGGAATTGCTCCAGGCGGTGCTCTGGGGACCGTATGGGATGCTGAGAATCGAACTCGTGTCGGCCATGTTGGCTGCATGCAAGGCAAACACCCTACCCGCTGTGCTATCGCTCCAGCCCCTTCTATTGCTTGGTTTTAAGTGTGGATACTCCACAGACCTTGCCACTTGACATTCTGCTAACCTCCCTTCTAATGCTGAAACAGAGGTTGGAAGGAATGATAGCCCTAGCTTTAAAAAATAATGTGGGTGGGTCTTTTTTTTTTAATTGAAGCGTTGTGATTTACAAAATTATTCGGGGTATTTTTTTTTTCATACAATGTTTCAACGCTAATCTCTTCCCCAGCGTCCACTTTCCTCCACCAGTGTCCCCAGTTACCTCCTACCCTCAATCTTGCTTCTTATTTTCCACCCCTCTAGGCACTGCTTTCCAGTACTGTTACTAATAGGGTTTAATGCATAACACTATACCACCTTCCAGCATAATGTGGGTGGTGGACTTAACCACCACAGAGATTATAGAGGAGCTTGTTCAAAATACTACAACCTGACTATCCTTATGCGCCTCGAGCATTTCTTTGAACACAGAATTACTTTGTCCTTCATAACTTCCCTGTTGCAGTTATAGCTTATTTTCAATTATCTGTTGCAGACAGCAATTAGTGAGAACTACCAAACAATGTCAGACACCACGTTCAAGGCTTTGCGCCGGCAGCTTCCAGTCACCCGCACCAAGATCGACTGGAACAAGATCCTCAGCTACAAGATCGGGAAGGAAATGCAAAATGCTTAAAGGCTGAATGCAGGGCTCTTCATTACATGGAAAGAAAGGATTCAACATGTGATCATTCGATATATAAGTGATTTATAAACAAGAGTGATATTTTGCTAGGGCTTTCAAAGTTAACAGGTTTTCTAGTCTCATGGAATACTGTTGGACCTATATAGCATTGTCTTGTTTCTTTTGTGTTCTTTTTGCCTTGTAATTTTCTTTTTCACTATTATCTACTTGTAAATTTTTTTTTTAATTTTGCAACATTTAATGATGGAAACATTGATCTATCTTGGAGTCATTCTATTTAGGAAATGTTCCTATCCATAACGTCCTATTACTGACGTAGACAGGTCATTTGGTCAGTACTTTTCTACCTTTATCTTTCAGAGCACTTCTGGTACTTCAGTGGTCTGTACTGATCCACCAGCAGCTGGGAGCTATGCTACCAACTATAGCTGAATGGAAGATATTTCCCTCTTACTGCTTTGATCATTTATAACATCTCAACTGTAGCCTTCAAAAGTTTGGATTAGGACTTTTCGAGTCCTTTTGGGGTGGAGTGAAGGAAGTTTCTGGACATTCCATAATAACCAGCTTCTCTGAGAAAATTGTTTTTTAAATCCAAAGACTTGAGCCACATTCCCTGCCCATAAATGTGTTTGCTTTTTTTTTTTCTTACCTTGTCTCCTTCCCTCTAGTACTATTATAATTATAGACATCTGCATTTACAGAAGTTTTTTTTGTTTTTTTTTTTAGTGAAACACCATGAGGTACAGTTATAGACTTATAAATTTTTGTGCTTGGGTTTCAGTTGTACAATGATCAAGTACCCATCCCTCCACCACCTCCACCAGTGCCCATCCTCCACCACCACGTGTCCCAGCATCCCTCCCACCCCCCATCCCCCCATCCCACCCTGCCTCTGTGGCAGGGCATTCCCCCTTGTTCTCTCTCTGCAGAAGAGTTTTTAATCCATTTTTTAATATTCAGGAACTGCTGACATACTAGGGATGTAGTAGAATATAAAACTTTAAATGCAGATGTTGAAGGAACAGTAGGTATTGATATTTTGTGCTTTAACATTTTGGCAGGATTGTATAAGCAAGTGAATCAAAAACAAACAAAAACTGAATGAACCAAAGTGAAAAGGGTAACTTCCAGGCAGTATCTTTCTATTGTAACCAGGTATTTCAGGGAATACTGGTGATCTGTTTGAAATAGGTTGTAAAACTTGTTCTAAATTACTCTTCCTCAGTCCTGCCTGCCAAATGTAACTGTGATATAGCAAGCCTCTAGTGGCAGGTTTTGCATAACCTTAATGCACAGGTGACATAGATGTGATATGACAGCTGGTAATGGTGGACTCATTTACATTGTTTACACTTCTATGACCAGGCCTTAAGGAAGGTCAGTTTTTTTAAAACCAAGTAGTGTCTTCCTTTCTCCAAATACATGTCCAAAAAAAGGGGTGTTTGTGCTTCAGCTTTTTTTTTTTGCTGAGTAAAAAAAAGTCAAGCAAGAGTTCCTTTATGAGTGACCTACAGAGCTGTATAAGCATTTTTATTTCAAATAAACTATATTTGTATTATTTGTCATTCATACTATCCATTCAGACCACACTATCCTCTGTATCAGTAGTCCAATAGAAATATACCTGTTTTGTTCTTAACTGGTCTGACTGAGTCTCTGTTTTTGAACCATCTATTCCTGGCGAGTATATGGGAGGAGCACCTGCGGGGAGATAGCCAGGAGTAGCCAGCTGTGACCTTTACTGTGAAGTGTCTAGTGATCTGGACTCAGGACTCTCCTGCAAGGTATGCATATTAAATTTATGACCCAAGGCCTGAGTGCTCCGCCCTAACTGATTCCCAGCACCACCTGGGTCCTCTAAAGACAGTACGGGTAAAGTCCCCCTTACTCCCCAGTGTGATAGCCTCTCCAGCCAGAGCCATTGGGAGGGGCTCCTGGTCTCTTTAGCACTGCTTGGGGGGACCCTTTCACTGAAGATAGCAAGGCAGGTACGGTGCTTGCCTTTCACAAAGCCAACCCTGGCTTGGACCCAAATACACATTCTGGTTCCCCCAGCCCCATCAGGAGTGAATTCTGCGCACAACCAGAAGTAAATCCTGAGCACCTCCGGACATGAACCCCCAAGACAATATTGATAGCCAGATTTCTAAACTAATTGTGTATTCTTAGATATAAGAAATGAGTATTAAGAAATACGCAAGGAGTGAGGAAAAGGAAGCATGTTCCAGAGGAAATGCAGGCTGCTCCAGAGAGGAAAGTCTCATGCAATAATTACACATTGGGATGCCAGTGACCCCCCAGGATTATGCGCCAGGAAGGAAAGAGAAGTTGCGTCCTGCATCCCACCCCTAGAATAGAAGGGTGTGGGCAATAGGAAAGGTGGAGTGCACCCAGCTTGCTTTCACATAACTGTTTTTACAAGATTCTCCAAGCTTCCCTGGCTAGACTATTCAGAGTTCTAAAGTTGGTACCCAACTTTTACTATTAAGTCGAAAGTCGAACGGGGTGGGGCAGAGCAATGACCCATGGATAGGGCCTTGCCTGCCTCTGACTCAGGTTCTATTCTCTGTATCTTATGGTCTTCACGGAACTGATTCCTTGAGCACCACCAGGTGAGGTATAAAAACTGCCGCAGACCACTCAGCCGCTTGAGTCTTCAATCTGGGGAGGACCCGTCAAAGGTATATAGGAAAGCAGAGAAGTCGGCGCATTGGACAGACAGACACCAACACAAGAGAGGTTAAGTGCTGCTGCTGCTGCAGTTTATTCAAGCCAAAGGCTTCCTTCTAATACAGTTCTCAAATCCATCTGACAAAGCATATGTTGCATCAGACCCCCGGGGACGTGCTCTGTTTTTGAATCCAAATGTCAATTGATCATCACCAAACAAAGGGGTCTTAGGCTATCGCAACCCTGTGATTTGTCTTACATTGATGGACTGTAAAGCACACAAGGGATTAGGAGCATGGGTTTTAGAACGGTCCCATGTTTTTCATTCTGAGGCATGTAGGGGCACGTAGGCCAGTTAGAAGGGACAATGGTCAGTTTAATAAGTTGAAAAATATTAATGTCTTGAATGTTCCCAATAAATGTATAAAATGAGGCCAAGCATTGTATTCTTAGTTTCAATGGTCTACTTTCACAATGACTCCTATTTCTCCAATATCAGTGTAATTCCTCATAGCCTAGTTTGTTACTAACAGCAGCAATGGAGAAGACATTAACTCACTAGCCGCAAGCTATTAATAATTAACTCACTAGCCGCAAGCTATTAATAATATTCTTTAGTAGCAATAACGCTCTTAGTAAGCAGATGGCAAAAGACTGTACGCCAAGCATGTCCGTTGAACTGCCAGGGGGGTCACCGGGAACTCTCGGGCCGCTTTCCTCCTGTTAGGGGACGCTGGCCACAATTCCACCAGCCCTAGGGCTTGAGACTTGCTCTTGCCCTTAATGTAGCTTAATGCTACGCGGGCGACGCCGTAGCCGGCGTGGCAAAAAACAAAAGACAAAATATTTAAAGAGATTTGTGAAGAGCAACTTGATTTTATGCAGTGGAAGAATCAATTCAGGTCCACTGGGCAGGCCGCCTTGCAAGGCAAATGCCCTACCGCTGTGCTATCACTCCAGCCCACAAAATGAAGTAAGTTTCACAAAATAGTATAACCTATTCACATAGTGGAGTGCCTTCTGTTCATTGCAAGAGCCTAGAGATAATATAGGGGTTAAGATGTTTGCCTTGCTTGTTGACCAACCTTTCTTGGATCCCAGTACCATATGCGATCCCCTGAGCACAGAGCCAACAATATACTGTGGGGCCTTTAGGTATGACAAAAGCCCAAGACGACAAAAAAAAAAAAAATTAGGGCTTAGAGAGATAGTACAGTGGGTAGGGTACCTAACCTTACCTGGGTTCAATCCCTGGCATCCCATTCAGTCTCCCAAGCTGGTGTGGCCGCCCTAATCGCCCCCCTCCTACCACCACCACTGCCAAAAACAATTCTAGGTATCCACCTATCAAAGCAAGACCCAGGAATGGTTGCAGGCAGGAAATAGAAATGAAAGAATCACTGCACATTAAATTTACCCAATTTTTCACGCTGAATTTTAAATGCTTTTCTTCTATACAAGTCTGACAGCCACAGTCATGTGCAGAAAGCTTTTATCCTTGTTTCCAACAGAGAATCAGGACTTTGAGTACTTCACTCTGCCTCCAAGGCCAGTTCAAATTCCTCCCCTTTTGAAGGACGTTTAACAAGCCTATGTTCTGTACTTCATGTGCACATCCAAATAATCTTGCTTTTGCCTTTACCTTATTAACAGTTGGTGCGGTGTCTATCTCATGAATTTCCTAAGCCTACAGATTTATAAAAATACTCAGTGTCCTGGCCATCTACTTAATTAGGCCCATAATTGTGAGGAAATCAACCCTCTATGCAAAACAAGTCCTGAGAGGCCTCCAGACTTGTTAATCTTCAAATTCCTTAATCTTCAACAAATTGTTTGCTTTAATTTTGTCTATTTCATCACATTTTACTGAAGTCAGCCTATAGTAGCACTATAGCACTGTTGTCCCATTGTTCGTCAATTTGCTAGAGCAGGCACCAGTAACATCTCCATTCGTCCTTGTCGTATGCTAGTGTAGCCCAATGGCGTCTGCTCGCTCCAGGAACATGAAGTGAGACTTGTTACTGTTTTTGGCATATCGAATACGCCAGGGGGAGCTTGCCAGGCTCTGCTATGCGGGCAGGATAGTTTGCTGGGCTCTCCAAGAGGGATGGAGGAATTGATCCCAGGTTGGCCGCGTGTAGGGCAAATGCCCTAGCGCTGTGCTATCGCTCCAGGCCACAGTATCACTCTCATCCTACAGTATCCTAGGGAAAAGATTTCCGAACCACATGAAAAGGAGTTTTTTCTGTGTCCTCTTTTAATTGGGTTTGAAATGACACTGTGAAATGATGCTGCCATACCCAGCAGTGCTGGGGAAGAGTGGCAGGTTTGGGGTCCTGAGCAATAGTACAGCAGGTACCATATGATCCCCCCGATCTGGTTCCCCAAGTCCACCAGGAGTGATCCCTGAGCACAGAGCCAAGAGTAAGCCTGCCCCCATTTTACAGTTTTAACATTCCTGCAAATTCCTGGGCTGTTAAAATGATGATTAACAATTTCCCAAAATCATACTTTCTACCCCAGACCTTAGTCTCACAGGAAACTAAGAGATCATGGACAATACCTAAGCAAGTGGTAAAACAAACAGTCTAACAGGCCCTAGACTAGCCAGGCTGCTCTGCAAAATTCTCCCATTCTCTGTAACATTCTTTTTTCTTCTTTCAAACTTATTATTTCCTGATATAATCCTTTATGAAATTCCCTGTTAAAAATGCATTTGTTTTGTCTCATGTTTTCTGCTCTTATCATCATTCTCATTTCCATAAATTCTTCTTTTTCTTCTTTGACTTCTTCATTGACCTAATTGTTATCAGTAGCATGTTATCTAGTTACCAGATGTTTGAGTATTTCTCAGCTTTCTTTTTATGGTATATTTTGGCTTTCATACCATTGTAGTCAGAAAATGTATACATAGAAATAATTTCTATTTTCATTATTTTATGCATCCTTGGTTTTTTATTTTTTTATTTTATTTTTTTCTATAACTGTACCATGAGGTACAGTTATAGACTTAAAATTTTTTGTGCTTGGATTTCAGTTATACAATGATCAAGTACTCATCCCTCCACCAGCGCCCATCCTCCACCACCACAGGTCCCAGCATCCCTCCCACCCCCTATCCCCCCATCCCAGCCTGCCTCTGTGGCAAAACATTCTCTTTTGTTCTCTCTCTCTCCTTTTGGGTACTGTGGTTTTCAAGAGAGGCATTGAGTGGCAATCATGTTTGGTCTATAGTCTACTTTCAGCATGTTTCTCCCATCCTGGTAAGATCCTCCCAACACCCTTTATTTGGTGCTCCCTTCTCTATCTGGGCTTCCTTTTCCCCTAGCACATGTGGCTGGCCTCCAACTCATGGAGCAAAATTCCTGGTACTAACCTCAGTCACTCCTGGGTGTTAGTCTCCCATTTTGTTACTTTATGTTCCCCAGATGAATGCAATCTTTCTCTGTCTATCCTGTTCTTTCTGACTCATTTCGCTTAACATGATACTTTCCATGTAGTACCACTTGTATGTAAATTTCATGACTTCATCTTTTCTAACAGCTACATAGTACTCCCTTGTGTAAATGTACCAGAGTTTCTTTAACCAGTCATCTGTTCTTGGGCACTCAGGTTTTTTCCAGATTCTGGCTATTGTAAAGAGTGCTGCAATGAACAAACAAGTGCAGATGTCACTTCGACTATACTTTTTTGCCTCTCTGAGATATATTCCCAGGAGTGGTATTGCTGGGTCAAATGGGAGATCAAATTCTAATTTTTTGAGAATTGTCCATACTGTTTTCCAAAAGGGTTGGACCAGTCGGCATTCCCACCAGCAATGAAGGAGGGTCCCTTTCTCGCCACATCCTCGCCAGTACCTGTTGCTTTTGTTCTTTTGGATGTGGACCAGTCTCTTTGGTGTGAAATGATATCTCATTGTTGTTTTGATATGCATCTCCCTGATGATTAGTGATGTAGAGCATT